GGTAAAGGGGCACGACGCCATATGGGTAATTGTGGACCGACTAACGAAATCGGCTCACTTCCTACCGATTAGCGACAAGTATACATTGGAAAGATTGGCCCAACTTTATGTCAACGAGATTGTGTCAAGGCATGGAGTGCCGATATCCATTGTCTCTGATAGAGATGCTAGGTTTACTTCAAGGTTTTGGTCAAGCTTTCAACAAGAAATGGGGTCGCGGCTGAACATGAGTACTGCATATCATCCTCAAACTGATGGCCAGAGCGAGAGGACGATACAAACACTAGAAGATATGTTGAGAGCTTGCGTGATTGACTTTGGAGGTAGTTGGGACAACCACCTCCCACTGATAGAATTTGCTTATAACAATAGTTAACATTCGAGCATCAAGGCGGCGCCATTTGAAGCATTATATGGCCGTAAGTGTAGAACTCCAATTTGTTAGGCAGACATTGGAGAAAGACAACTAGCTGGACCTGAGTTAGTCCAATAGACATCTGATAAAATCATACAGATCAGGGATAGGCTAAGGGTTGCACAAGATAGACAAAAGAGTTATGCGGATAGAAGACTTCGACCTTTGGAATTCCACGTAGGTGAAAAGGTTTTGTTAAGAATATCGCCATGGAAGGGGGTCGTGAGATTTGGAAAGAAGGGTAAGCTAAGCCCAAGGTATATCGGACCATTTGAGATAACTGCAAGAGTARGAGCAGTTGCTTATCGGTTGAAACTACCATAAGAGTTAAGTGGTATTCACAACACCTTTCATGTGTCAAACTTGAGAAAATGTCTAGCTGACGAGTCGACTGTTGTAGATTTGGAAGACATCGAGGTCAACGACAAACTCGCCTATGTGGAAGAACCAATTGGTATATTGGATAAGAAGACGAAAAGACTAAGAAACAAAAGTATACCATTGGTGCTAGTTAAGTGGAAATTCCATAAAGGCGCAGAAATGACGTGGGAGCCAGAAGAGGAAATGAGATCTAAGTATCCCCGGTGGTTTTAGCAAGTGTTAATTCCGAGGACTGAATTTCTTGAAGGAAGGGAGAATTGTAAAACAAAAAATTTCGAGGAATAAATAATGTATTTTATTACTTCAATTTTATTTATATATATAAATATATATATATATATATATATATATTAAATCAAATTCAAATTTGAATAAGTTAAATCTTGCTGGTTTTGGGCTCGGCTGAAGGCTCTTATTAAAGGAGGGCCAACTGTTGACGTTGGGAGAGGCAAGAGAGGGCAGGCGATGCCTGGCCCATAAGGGAAAACTGCGACCTGCATGGTTGCAGGCTGTGGAGAAGACAGTCTCGCAGCCTAAAAATCGAGATTTGGCCGATTTGGTCAACTAATAGGCCAAACCGCTTGAGTATAAATCAGGGGTACTGGTCTAGAGTAGTTATTTTTTTAAGAAGAAGGAATCGTCGAGCTTGAGAGAGGGAGGAACCGGAGTTCAGACCAGGCACGAAACCCCTTGCTTCCCGTCGTTTAGAGGTAATTACTTGACCCAAATTTTATATTGATACAAGGTTTAGCTATGCCATCGGTCCTGTATGGAACCCTAGAAGGCTCGCGTCGAAATTTGTGTTTTAAGGTTCGATTTCAAGGTTTAGATTTCAAATGATAAACATACTGTATCACTGTAAAAACCACTTAGAAAATGGTATACAGAAGCTCTGCATGAGAGCTCTGTATCACGTTAGAAGCTCTGCATGAGAGCTCTGTATCATGTTAGAAGTTCTGCATGAGAGCTCTGTATCATGTTAGAAGCTCTGCATGAGAGCTCTGTATCATGCTAGAAGCTTTGCATGAGAGCTCTGTGTCCAGTTATGCTAGTCAGAGGCTCTGCATGAGCTCTGTTTCAAGTTGTGAGAACCCTGTACCAAGTTATGAAGGACAGCAGAGCTCTGTATCAAGTTATGAGGCCACAAAGGAGCTTTGGCCCTTAAATTTATGTATGTGATTTGGAACCAGAGGCTCTGGTCGCGAGACCAGAGGCTCTGGTCGCGAGACTAGAGGCTCTGGAAGAAATGGAGACCAGAGGGGCTATGGCCCTTAATGAAATGATTTTAGTTAAGTCGCAGAAGCTCTGGTCTTAGGCCCAATATGTTCTGTCTAGTTAAGAACCAGAGGCTCTGGTCGCGAGACCAGAGGCTCTAGAAGAGATGGAGACCAGAGGGGCTCTGGCCCGTGGTGAATTGTTTTCTAAGTATAGTTCAACCAGAGGCTCTGGTCGTGAGACCAGAAGCTCTGGAAGAGATGGAGACCAGAGGGGCTCTGGCCCGTGGTGAATTGTTTTCTGAGTATAGTTCAACCAGAGGCTCTGGTCGTGAGACCAGAAGCTCTGGAAGAGATGGAGACCAGAGGGGCTCTGGCCCGTGGTGAATTGTTTTCTAAGTATAGTTGAACCAGAGGCTCTGGTCGTGAGACCAGAAGCTCTGGAAGGGAGACCACAGAGGGGCTCTGGTCCTCGATGTGGAATTATTTTCTAAGTATGGGATACAAGCAGAGGGGCTCTGTCAATGCAACCACAGAGGCTCTGGTCCCAAAGGACTTAAGAGTCCAGAGGCTCTATCAAGGCAACCAGAGGCTCTGGTCGTCCACAAAGGCTCTGGTCTAATTTTGTTGTTACGAAGAACGTTCCTAAGCATAGTTGACCAAGGTTGACCCAAGCTGACAAAATTGACCGTAAGTTGACTTTTATGATAGCCATTGGGGAGAAAGTAATCATTTACGTACTATTTGCTATTATAAATTGTAGGTTACCAGTCAGCGCCATTAGTTAAGCACTCTACGTTATCAGGTGAGTCTTCATGAGACTTACAATGGGATGCATACCTATGTATAAATTTATTTTCAAGCATTATACGATTTATATGATGATGGTACAAATGCATGATGTTTCACTTTACATACATGATATGTTTTACATGTATGACGTTTTATGATCAGTTGCATGCTATGTGTTTAATCACGATTCGAATAACTCTAGTATGCTTTTCCATACTAAAGTTTGATGATTTAAGGGTGGGCATTTGACCAGTAAGTCACGACCAGTATAAAACACTACCCGGACAAGTGGGTGATAAGTTAAGATTGTGACACCCAGGGCGTGTTGGTGACTAATAAGTCACGACCAGTATAAAACACTACCCAGACAAGTGGGTGATCAATCGAGAATGAAGTATCAACCCAGGATGTGTTTGTGACTAAATGACCCATTCCAGACAGATAATTTATGACATCTCAATTCTTTCAGTGTTGCATG